AAAGTTAGAAAATGTGGCCTTTGCTTTGTTGGTCACGGCCAGGAGGTTACGACCATACTTTCAAAGGCATCAAATAATTGTCAGGACCAATCAGCCTATAGGGAAGCTGTTGCATAAGCCGGACCTGGTAGGAAGAATGACCAACTGGGCAATTGAACTCAGTGAATACGACATAACATATGAAAGTCGGAAAGCCATCAAGTTACAAGCTCTGGCCGACTTCATAATGGAACTGACGCCTGTAAACCCGGAACATGAGGAATTCGGTGATAAATGGAAGGTCTATGTGGATGGATCCTCCAACAATAAAGGAAGTGGGGCTGGAATCATATTAGAAAGCCCAGAAGGAGTAACAATTGAACATTCCTTGAACTTGGGGTTCCCAACTTCAAATAATCAAGTCGAATATGAAGCTCTGATAGCCGGGTTGATGCAGGCTAAAGAACATGGAGCTAGAAATATTCAAATCTTCAGTGACTCGCAGCTGGTAACTTCACTAATAGAAGGAAAGTACCAGGCTAAAGGTCCTTTGCTAATGAAGTACCTAAGTAGAGTGCAAGAAAAGATGGCCGACTTTGATGAGGTGCGGGTTACTCACATCTCTCGAGGGGACAATAGCCGAGCTGACATCTTGTCAAAATTAGCAAGCACCAAAAGTCCGGGTAACCACAGAATTGTGGTTCAACAAATCATAACAATGCCGAGTTGTGTGATGGTGATAACCTCAACACATGACTGGAGGAAACCTATAGTAAATTACCTGGAGAAAGGAATATTGCCAGAAGATCATCTGGAAGCTAGAAAGCTGGTCCGAGATGCGGCATAATACACAATTGTGGATGACCAGCTATTTAGAAAGGGTTTGCACAACCCCATGCTAAAATGCTTGAGCTCGGATGGAGTAGAATATGTCCTCACCGAGATGCATGAAGGAATCAACGACCATCACATGGGAGAAAAAGCCTTGGCTAGAAAGGCCCTTAGAGCAGGCTATTACTGGTCGACAATGGGGGTAGACTCTAAAGAACACGTCAAGAAATGTGACAGCTGTCAGAAACATGCCAAGTTAATCCTTTCACCACCACCTGAATAGCTGAAAAGCATCTCGGCTCCATGGCCCTTCTTCAAATGGGGAATGGATTTACTGGGACCCTTCAAAGCTACTTAGGGACAACTTAAGTGGCTGATTGTGGCTGTGGATTATTTCACAAAGTGGATAGAAGCAGAACCAGTCACCACAATCACCTCAGCTAGAGTGCAAAGGTTCTTTGAACGGAACATTGTCTCCAGATTCAGAATCCCAGCCGAGGTGGTCACTGATAATGGAACACAGTTTGCTGACAAGAGATTCCAGCAGCTAATGAAAGACCTACAAGTCACACATCGCTTCGCATCGGTGGAACACCCACAATCGAATGGGCATACCGAAGCAGCCAACAAAGTGATTATGAATGGTCTCAAAAAGCGAATGTTCGATGTTGAAGAAAGCTGGGTTCAACAGCTATACTTTGTCCTTTGAGGTTACAGAACAAGTACCCAGACTGCAACACGGGAAACCCCTTACAGACTAACGTATGGATGTGAAGCCATGATTCCGGTGGAGGTTGGAGAACCCTCTTGGAGAAGACTGAATAGTCTTGAACAAGGCGAACAACAAAACAATAAAATGCTTACTGAAGAGTTAGATCTTGTAGACGAAGCTAGGGTTGCAGCTCACTGCCGAAACATGATGACTAAACAACAAACAGCGACAAAGTAAAATATGAAAGTGAGACCAAGAATCTTTGAGAAAAATGACTTGGTACTCAGTAGAGCAGATATTGGCAATAAAAACGCCAGAGATGGAAAGTTCGCTGCAAACTGGGAAGGCCTGTATCGGGTTAAAGAGAAGCTCGGGAAAGGAGCTTACGTCCTAGAAACAATAGAAGGCAAAGGAATCAAGAGAACCTGGAATGCGGATAAGCTGAAGATATACTACAGCTAAATCCGGGATCCACCTTCCCCAACTTGCAGTACTATTTAATTATATTTTCCTCTATTAGGGATTTAATTAAAGCCGAATATGCCGGCAAATTCATGTAGTTCGCAATTTGATATCAATAAATGAGGAATTTTTCTTTCTAAAGATCTATTCTTGTCTATTTTCGATGCATCAATACAAAATGCGAGGTCTAAATACAATTTTTCATAATGACTCTGATCAGGTCGAAATGTTCCCCATTTTGGTTAAGATACCAAAAGGGACACATGGCAATATTTTTTTTACCTTAGATAAAGTTGAATTATGAAATTCAAATTCAATTAAATGGTTAAGTCAACAAAGACGAGATCCATTATTCAGACTTACCCGAGCGAGTAAGTTAAACAAACATGCGTCATTGACAATGACATAAAGCGGAATCCGTACAATGCTTTGACCTCGACCAGGTCATAAATAAAGAACTCGTATGATGCACGGGTTTAGCACGCTAAATTGGGTTGCATGCTTAACCCAATAAGCGACGTAGAATAATGAAGTAGATTTGGTATAAAACTCGTAATATGCGCGGGTTAAATACATCTATTAAAATTGGAATTCCATCCAGTAAAATCGGAACTCCACTTTGATAAGATTACTTACATAATTGGAGAAAACCGGGTTATGGATGTAAGCTTAACCCGACTTACAATCCGAGTAACACGCCGAATGGGCAACTCAGACTAGGGGTACAATGTACGCCAAAAAGACTAAGTTATACACTCAGACAATGCAAAAAAAAACTAGCTTTTTGACAAAAGCAAATGCGGTTCCGTAACGACATATCGGGTTATGAAGATATGAATACCTTGATAAATGCATCTATGGTGAACTCGGAAATTATAAATGCAAAACGGCAAATCTTAAAGCAGGATATGGAAGGAAAAATAAAATGCTTAGAAAGCAAAATTAAAAACCGGAATAAACCGCTAATATTCGGAATCAACCCAAAAGGGGCCCAAAGACCCCAAGAAATTACAAGTCCAATCGGCATTCCGGCCCTTCATGTTGTCTGGCTAGTAGGAGGATCTTCCGATACTGAAACCTCCTTGTCGGATGGATTGGCCGCCTCAACTTCCTTTCCGGGTTGGTTAATTGCCTCCTCACCATCTTCAGCGGTAGCACCTTTCTCGGGTTCGGTAACTGATACACGGGAAGGAGAGACGGCAGCGGGAGAAATGATTAGGCCATTGCTAACATAAGCGCGAGCATTCAAGCCGACCAGGTTCAAAGGAACTTTCGGATTCAGTACTTGGAGTTGATTCAGGGCATTATAGAAGGACCCGGTGACCGATTTCTCAAGTTCACCTTGGTAGAGTTGAGCAGTACGCTCAGCTTCCTTCAGCTTATTCTCCATCTTTTCGTACATCCTCCGGAAGTCATGCATCCTTACGGCCTCAACAGCCTTTTCATCTCGAAACTTCCCGTATTCAGCCTTAATCTGGGTCAGCTTGGCGGTGGTGTCATCATAGTCCTTTTTTAAAGCGGACAAATCATCCTTCACCTTCAGCAGCTCAGCATATGTCTTAGCCTTCTCCTCCTGGGATGCATATGCTTCACTTAATGAACGCAGATACTTTTGCTTAAGAATGAGCAAGGGTCTGGCCAACCCGACCATCTTCAAACAACATCAATTGCTCCAATTCCTCCACTTCTTTAACTTGGGCCATGGTAAGAGAGGATGAGTTGTAGAAGGACTCGGGGGCGCACACTGCATCCCGGAGAGTACTATTTGTTTTGCCTTGCCATACCATATGCTTAACAAGTTCAGGTGTTGGAGGACGAGGGGCTTTCGGGGTTTGACGAGCGCCAGAGGAAGCACGAACATCAGCAGCATTCGACTTCTCTTTGGCACTGATCGTGGCTGGAGCACCCGTTGACGAATCCTTGGTCTTACCAAGATTGCCTTGAGACAACTTAGCCGCCTTCCTCTTCTTCGTCAACCCGGTGGAACCCGCCTTGGTTTGGTTCAGCGCGACCAACCAACTAGGAGGATCATTTTGTTAGTTATCCATGTCAGGTACTGCAAAAGAGAAATAATAAGAAATTAGTATGAAAGGCAACACCACCAATATGCAAGCATAGAGTTGCAGGAAATAATCCACACTTAATTCAACATTAAGTTCCTCCTGGGACTTGAACAGAAGAGATGCGACACTAGCATGCTTATGCGACAGAAGGTACGTGCCAATAGCAATGGCACTGTCAATATCAGACGAACCCAACTCGGTAACTTGGAAACGGTAACTAGATGAGGGAAGTTGATAATGGTCAGAAGACCAGTGCAAAGGAAATTTTCCCTCACCATCCTCGACACGAGAGGTGTCAACAAACCAAACACTCTTGCCGGGATGGGCAGAAACTTTAAAGAACTTGTCTTTAAAATTTTTAAAAGAATCAGTATAGACCTGAAAAAGTTTACGCTTGGGGATACCTCGAATGGTAACCCACCATTTTCGGTCGGCCGGTTCCTGACCAGTCCGAGGGGTAAGCACTTGAAAAAAAGAAAAAGAATACACATACAGAAGCAGGAATAGCAAGATATAAGCAGAAGCGCTCAAAGGCTTTGATAAAACCCCAACCATTGGGGTGAAGCTGGGTGGGAGCTATTTGAAGGTGATTCAGAACATCAATCTGAAAATCCGTCAAGGGGAAGCGGACGCCGAGTTGCCTCACGACATCTCGAAAAAAGAAAAAGAAATGGGGCTCTCTTGACCTCCCACTAGAGCAGACGGGTTCATCTTTTTGAGGAGGGACTATGTCGAAATTCTCTAACTCCCCCATATAAAGAGGGCCGCAACGTCGTCCGAACCGATCTCTGAAATAGTACTCAAAACTTCATGAGTAACCCAGGGAAACTGGGCTGTTAAAGAAGGCGAGGGATGTGGGGGACTCGACTCGGTGGAACTCGACTCGGTGGAACTCGACTCTTCTACTACCTCTGGAGGAGGGGATGCCATAAATCCTAAAAACAAGGAAATGCATGAATCAGGAAAGAGTCAGAATACCTGAGTCACAAAGGCTATCAGAAGAATCACTAGATGATGACGATGATGACATATCAGAAATTGCAATAGGATCATCTGCGCCTCCTGACGCACAAATAGATTTATCTCCATGCCAGCAAGTAGCCAACGTAGACTCGGCCAAAGAGTCACAACCTTGCTCGACAAGTCTTGAACTCAAGAAAACACAAGAGTAACAAGGGACACTCCTTGGGTAAGAAGGAGGCGGCGAAGCTTGGGTGTGAGACAAAGATCTCGGATGAATGATAGGTCGGCTGTAACATCCCGTCTAATTAGGAATCTATTTAAATTGCAATTGGGAATGTGGTAGAGTACTTGCCTTCGGATTATATAAATGTTTGCTTTAGGATGGAGTTAAATTAAATGAAGGAACTATTTGTATTGACATGGGAGGTGAGTACCTATTTTAGGCATGTGAAATTCTAGTTATGAGTATAGGAATAATTTGATTATTATATATAGAAAGAATAATACCACTTAGAATTATATGTGTACTCATTAAAAGTAAATGATTAATTTTATTACAAAGAATAAACCCTTAGCTAATAATTGGAGGGTACATAAATAATAGTGCATGAGCTAATTCACAAGGTAGGAGAGCATGTGAATGTGAATTCTAGAACCCAACCCCTCTATATGGTCGACGCCTTTATACCCTTAAGTGGGGAGTATGTGTAGCCTTAACCTCTTATAAGCTCTCACACCTTATCCTAGAAAAATCACAAGGTTGTCCATTAGTGGTCTAGGAGTTCCACATGGCAAAACCTCATCTACTTTGTATTCCCTTCATGCGCATAACTTAGAGAAATAATTCTGATTTGCTTGTTATCTTGGACAACCCCAATTCAGTTTTATTAAGCATGCAACCAATTAGGAAAGAGAAATCAGTTTGCATGTAAGCTCATTGGTTGAAAATCACATCTCCCTTGCTCCTCTCTTGTGCGTATAGGTAGAGTTGAAATTCTGATTCTGATTGCTTGTGTGACTAACTAAAACCAAATCAGTTTATTGCCTCTACATGCAACCAATGAATGGGAGAGGGCAGCTTGCATGTGCTTCCATTGGCCTAAAGCAAAAGCACATTTTCACCTTACCCCTTCACAATACCATTCCTCTCCTCCCATCCTAGGCGCTGTATAGTTGAGACTTTGAATAGGATAATTAATCTCAGAATCAGAAACAAGTTGGTTTCCCCCTCTCATTCCTTGTAGGCCGTACATATCAATTGGGAATAACACAAAAAAGACCTCCAACATTATTCACTACATTCATCTCTTTCTTTCCTCCCAAAACCGTGACCATTCACCATACAACACCCTCAACCGAGTTGCTCCTATCATCTTCCCTTCCTTCCCCCTCATCATGCTAGAACCGTGAGCTCCATGAGAAAAAAGCAAAGATAGTTCAGCGCTTCTTCTTCCCTTCCCTGTCCAGCCGAGATTCTGCATACTAGAGGTATAGAAATTCCTCATTTTCATTATTTTCCTCTCCCACGCGGGTTGATGGAAAAGTTGCTTTGTATGTAGGATTGAACTCTAGAAAATCCTTTTTTCTCCTTGGTGCGCACAGCCACTTTTTGGAGGGCTGAGTTGCTGCGTTCGTGGAGCCTAGAAAGCGGGGGAGTTGCTCCTTATTATGTTTGGTGTTCCCTTGTGTGCTTGCATGAGAGGTAGGCACAAAACCCCTCCTTCTTTCCTCTGTTCAAATCGTGAGGCATGCTTAGGAAGTAGCTCTCTTGGTTATTTTATATGCTTTAGATTCTGCCATTTTATGTCCTTGGACCCTAGTTTGAAAGCATAAAGGAAATAAACTTTGAAATGATCTTTTAATAAAATTTGGGGTTGTTTGGTTGTGAGTTAGTGTACCTAAAACTTGTCATGAGTCTAAATAAAGAGGATTGCATGCTTAGACCCCTAGTAGCGCACCATAAATGGAGTAGATGAGTTTTGGAATTAACTATCCTTGATGTTTTGTTTAGATATAAATCGGTTCTGTCTTGGTAAACTTTGGTATGAGCTAAGTCCTATTCAAATTAAATATACAGCATGCCAAATAGACTTTCTTTTGCGCATCCTATGAGTAGAGAAGTAGAAATTATATGAATTAAAACTTGAGTAGATTCTTGCATCAAAAGTGATTCTGCCTTAGTTGGAAACCTTAAGAAATCCTCGCTGATAAACGTTGGTAAAGATTAATTTGAAGTCAGTATATTTTTGGGAAAAGAACCTTGATGTCCGAATGTGTACAAGAGCCCTTAAGCTTGGAAACTCGTTGATAATTTATAAGGAATAGCTTAGAACGTATTCTGATTGGATTGCACTTATATATATATAGGTGCGCATATTTTGTGAGACTTGGATTATTTCACTGTTGCTTGGTAAATTAATTGTGAGGTGTGAGGTAAGTGTCTGGTGGCATTACCTTTTGTGACTGCTGGCTAATACATGGATTGTGAACTGTTGCTCTCATGCTTTGGATCTAAATTCTGTATACGATATTCGTATTCTGCTCATGGATATAATATGCTGGATATTCTATTGTGGAGAATAATTGTTATACAACATTCTGATATTTGAATCCATGAGATATATGTATCTTGATTATTATCTAGTCATGCATACACATTCATGATTTTTAACTGTATGTTCATGTGTGATCCATGACATAGCATACATGCATGAGTTTCATGTTGACATCTGAAAATAATTATGAGAAGTATGCATACGTTTGAGCACGCATCATGTAAGCATCCCTTCGGTACCAGGGTATGGGACACTTGGCTTCCGTCCGCATAAGTCATAGTTGGAATCCTTCTGTTGGAGCCACCCAGGAATATCCGCTGTGTCTGTTAGTGATACGTGCACCTTAGTGCTATGAACGTACACTTCTGGCGTTATATACGCAATATGATCAGTACTCTTGGCGTTATATGCGCAATATTATCAGTACTTCTGGCGTTATATACGCAATATGATTATGATTAGTATTTGACGGATTTGAACTGATGATGTGACTGCTTTGTAATTCTGTATTTAGTTAGTACTGTTGCATTACTGGTTTTGTTGCCACACTACTGGGATTTTTCTCACCCCTTTGGGGCTGCTATTTTTACAAAATGGCAGGAGGACGGAAGAGCATATGAGGACAGGATTATATGGATATCTACTGTTATGTGCTGTTGTCTGGACTTTTGCTGTTTATTTGTTGGATGACTGTATTAAGCTGAGTAGTTTGGATTATTGTTGGATTATGATTTTATTGCTGTTTTAAGACTTTTATGATCAGCAAATATTTTGGAAACAAATTCTATAAACGTGTTGCGAAAATAATTTCTGACGTTTATTTAAGTGTTGGTTTTAAACAGTCTTGCGAGCACTTTGCGAGTTATATTTAGTGCGGCTACAGACCTCCGATTCGCTTATATTTTATATGCACGCGAAGCCCCACGTGTCTATTTTCAGATTATGTAAACGTTACAATGGAATTTTGAAAACTGGATTTTACACGAATTTTTCAAGACAGAAACGTCTGCCAGAAATTAATATTTTCAGCAAGTTAAGAAATTTTGAAAGTACACTCTGATTTAATAAGGAAACTGATTTCAATTATAAGTTTTAATTAGAAACATCAAAATGATTTTTCAGTGCTTAAAATATATGACGAACGAACTCTAATTCTGCTTAGCAAACAACTCTCTTGGGTGCACACAAGGGTTACATGATGATTTAAATTGCAGGATGGTGTAATCTCTGCATGGAGAGGCAGCTCTGAAAGTAAGACCCCCTTTGAATTGATTGCGTCACTAAGAGGCCACACTGAAGTTGTGGTTTGTCTTAGTGTTGGTCGGAATATGCTCTACTCAAGGGCCATGGACCATAGCATAAAGGTATGTCTATAGTCTGGCAGTGAGGACTTTCTATTTTTTTATTAATATATGCATATTATAAATTTATTAATAATTGTACTTTGTAAAAATAACTGAAGTGTAATATTTTAACAATATTTGTATAATAATTAAAATATTGGATAAATATTTATTATGAATATTAATGAATATGTTTTTTATAATATTTCATTTATATTATTAATATTCATTTGATGGATAGTAACTTGGTTAGTTATTTAATTTACGGTTTATATTATCTTTTAATTAGTATTAATGTGGATATTTATTAACTTCTAATACATACATATTTTTTAATTATATTAATTATAATAATTAATAAATGAGTAAGACTAAAAAAATGAATCAAATAATGTCAAAATGCATGGATTGCTCCATGTGGATTTTGTTAAAAAGAAGTGATTTCACTAGACTACATATTCACAAATTTAAAAATGTTTGATGGTCAGTTCTTCATATTGATGTGGACATTGCTAAAATGTTCTTGGTCTTTATGTTGTGTGATGTTCAAACTGACATTATGATGTGTTTTCTTATAGATGGTTTTATATATGTTTGTCATTATAAATCTTAGGTGGTATGTTGTTTTCCATTGTTAGCCACAATTGCTTGTTGCTTGTTTCTACATGGTAGCTTGTTTGAAAGAATTATTTGTTATCTTGTTTTCTTCAGGTGTGGGACCTTGATACATTGCAGTGTGAAAGGACATTCAATGGACATACTGAGGTAGTCACATCCCTTATTTGTTGGGAGCAGTATTTGTTATCAAGTTCATTCGACTGCACAATTAAGGTCTGGGGTTTCACTAAGGAGGGAACTTTGGAAGTAACATATACACACACAGAGGAAAATGTATGTTGCGTTACCATGATAACATCTTGTGCATAAGTAAATTTTTGATTCTATATCAAATATCATTTAGTTGTATTTTCATTTGTGGAAATCAAGATGAATTTTTTTTTATAATGGCCATGGAGTTAGTTGATTCACACAATCAATATTTTTTTTTTGTTATAGGGTGTTCTTGCACTTTGTGGGATGACTGATGCAAAAGCCAAGCCCATACTGTATTGATCTTGCAGAGACAATTCAGTTCGCATGTATGAATTGCCATCGTAAGTATACTTAAATTTGCATCCTTTTTTTTTCTTCTGTAACTGTCATGGTTATGTTTTTGTGTTGGGAAAATGTTGCAGCCCCTTACCATGTCTACATTTACAGGTTTTCAGAAAGAGGTAGGCTATTTTTGCAAAAAGATGTTCGGTCATTACAGATAGGTCTAGATAGGGTTGTGCTTGTCTTTACCAGAGATGAGACTGGTTTGCTAACTGTCTGGAAATGGTTCGAAGAGCCCAAAGTGCCATGAGAAATGTCCATTTTCCCCCATCAGCTGGTTTCTTTTTTGGGAAAATTTCACCAATGCCCCTGTGGTTTGCTTCAAAATCATCTATTCCCTTGTGGTTTGCTTCAAAATCATATATGCAACTTTTTTTATCGCATATGCCCCTATGCTTTGTAAAAAAATAAAAAACCACAGGGGCATATGTGATAAAAAAACATACCCTTTTGCAAACCACAGGGACATAAGTGATTCTAGAGTAAACTACAAGGGCATTGGTGATCTTTTCTCTTCTTTTTTACATCAAATGGCCAATTGATGCCAGTGATATTTTGCAGGAGACAAAACAAGATTTAATTCACTTTTTCCTGTACAGTGAGCAATAGTGATTGTAACATGAAGTATATAATGAATGAAAATTTCCAATTCCAATGTTCTCTTTCTTCTGGTGTTAGTTCATTCTTAATAACGAATGTTATTGCTCTCCATTATGCTGCTATTCTGAACTTTTCCACTTATGAGTTAATGTTTCAGTTCTATATAAGTATGTTTCATGTCTGTTTTCTATCTACAATCTGTTTAATATTCTTCTTTATCATGCCTAATTTTCTTTTTGATAAACATTAGTAAGCATCATAAATGTATCTCGTATATAGTCTGTTACTTTTTAGAGTAAATATCTTTTTTGGTCCTCAACAAATTTCACGATGTTCGCTTTAGTCCTTAGCAAATAGAAAGGCCCATTGTGGTCCCTAAAAAATCTTTTTTTGTCCTCAACAAATTTCACGATGTCCGCTTTAGTCCCTAGCAAATAAAAAGGCCCATTGCGGTCCCTAAAAAATTCAAAATTGGCCCATTTAGTTGAAATCGTGGTCCCTCACAAATTCAAAAAAGACCCATATTAGTCCCTAAAAGGACTAAAATGGGTCTATTTTGAATTTCTTAAAGACCACGATGGGCCTTTTTATTTACTAGGGACTAAAGCGGGTATTATGAAATTTGCTGAGGACCAAAAAAAGATATTTACTCTACTTGTTATTACTTAAATTAGTAGTTGATACTATCCTCTAATATGCAATCAGATTTATGAAATTGGTGGTGGATCAGGAACTTGTGCCAAGGGTATAATGGATTACATAATGTTGAATGCTCTTGCAAAAGTTTATAACAGTTTGACTTACACGTACGTGCCTCGACAGTGAATATAATATATATTTTATTATAAAACCAAATTATAATGTTTCATCCAGTTTTTAGTTTTTACCTATTTTGTTAAGGGGTTTTATTTCTCTCATGTTGCATGAAAAATTTTGTCTCATGCAACACACAAAAAAGTGGGTGAGACCCATTTTTTATTTTTTTGGTGGGACCTACCCACTTTTTTGTGTGTTGCATGAGACAAATTGTCTCATGCAACATGAAAAAAATAAAATCATTTTTTAAGATAGTGAGCTTTGCTTATATTTTTTTTGTACCTCTTTAAATGTACCTTGTGTGAAGAATTATTTTTTCAATCCAAACTATGATTTTGATATAAGCAACATTTTGTTGTTTTGGGAAAAAAATTGATAATATTTCATATCTTTATTGATAATTACATACGCAAAAATGATTTTTATTAACATATCCAATATATATGTGACTTTAACGTTTCTATATAGTTAATGTAAATAAGTTATTTACTTTCACTCCCAAAATGATATCGTTTTGGGTTGAAAGATTAAAAAATTATAAGTAGGAAGACTATTATAATCCTTAAATGAATTATAATTACAAAAATACTTTGATTTTCGTCCCAAAATAACGTCATTTTGGGCTCAATGTAGATAAATTATCTACATTGACTACAGAAAAATGAACCATATATATATATATATATATATATATATATATATATATATATATATATATATATATTAACTTTGGACGAAAAAAAGTCTTACATATACGAGACTAATCATGAATAAGATAATGTGATAATTATTTAACTCTGATCCCAAAAATCTTAATTTGGTAAGAAATCTTTATCCTTTTGACAATTCATTTATTCTAAAATTCATATTATTACTTGAGCCAATTTTTAAGTTTTGCTCTCTATCTTAATCAAAAAATTTAAATTTTAAATTTATAAATCCTTTTACTTAATATAATTATTGCTTAATTTATCTTAATAATGCTGAATTCCAAGTTTAACACACATCCACTCCAGTTCTTAATAAAAAAAATACCAATCCACCTAGTAAAAAGGAAAAGGGTCCTGAAGAAAACCCAAAAGAGAAAAAGAAACACACACGGCATCCATATCCATTTTTGTGGCTTCCCAAGATAATTAGAAGTTGTTTTATTTGTGATTCAGTGAAAGCAGCAAATCTCTTTCATGAAAGTAAGAGTCTACTTTTTTTCAGTGTCTGATACTTGTTTTTGTCCTGTTTCCAGCATCAACCGAACAAAGGTTCCCTTTGACTAGTTGTTCGTTATATTATTTTTTTTAAAAAGCCAATTATATGATCATTTTGTTCAGATTTAATGTCTCTTATATTATAGGAAATAAATTTACTTTTTACATAGATAAAAATATATGAAGTTCATATTTTTTTCTTCTTTTTTCTTCACATGATCTCATATATACCTTTTTGTACGTATAAGAGATAATTATATCTCCTATAAGAGGAAATTGTGATGCTAACATGCTAATTCATATCATTGTCTTGTTTGTTCTTTTCCTTTTACTTTATTATATTATTATTACCCTCTTCAATCTTAGTTCTGCAAATTACAATTTCGTTATAGATCCAATTTAGACACTTTTTTATACAACCAACTTGAAATTATATGATTCTTGCGAGAATATTAAATTGCTAAGTTCATGTGAATATTTTAAATTTATTGGATATGATTTATATTTCACATTCAACTTTCAGATGATGACTCTGATTAATTTCAATTCTTATAATATAATGCACTACCCTTAACTAATTAGTGGTAACTAATTAAGGGTGATGGGATGAAGCTTGTATGAAGTTTATATAGATTTTAGAGTAAAGCCCCTCTTTTAGGTCGCTAACGAAAAATATGTTTCTCACGTGCCGCTGAGGCTTCTCAGAAGCCACATGTGAAGACCCCTGCACATAACACAAAGGAAGTGCTGATTAGAAAGAGCGTAGATGAGACAAGTGTGGCTCAGGCTTCTCAGAAGCCACATCAGAAGACCCCGTACTATGAGTCATATGAAAGTTCGAAATGGCCTTGAAGGCCGATGCATGCAAGAGGGAAAAACAAAATTTTTCTTTGCGGAATATACATGCATATCAAGATCATGCTTTAGGAAAGCATGATGTTACCTTGTTCGTGAAATCACCAGATGATCAAGGCAGGTCTGAAGGGTTCAGACCCTCTAATGTTGATCCACACCACCCACTCGTCTAGGTGCAAGAACTCCTTCTTGTGAAGCCACCGGATGATCACCACAAAGAGGCTTGCTAGGCGCTCTATGTGTGAAGATGGAGGCTAGGTGAAAGTGTTTGAAAGAGTGAAGCTCTCAATGTGAAAGCTTCACAAGTGGCACAGGAGAAAGGAGAGAATAGGCTAGGCTTTTCAGAAAAACCCTTGGAGGAACAACTAACCACATAGGCGCATAAGAGGAGAGTATTTAAAATAAAATACCAATCAGATTTTTCTCTCAAAAATCTGATCATTAGGCGCCAGATTGGAGAGAGAGAAGTGGAGCTGTTTAATTTCAAAAATTGCTAACAGGCTCCTGGAATATTCTCTTGAGAATTGGTTCAAAACCTATTCAAAATTCTGATCAGAAATCTTCATAAGATCAGCTATATGGTGCGCCCCATATAGCCCAAAAAGGTGACCAGATACATCTGAGTAGTTGCATTCAAATTTGAATCAACTCACTCAGATTTTCTCCCAACTGACTGAATCTTCTGGAGCTGATTTTGATGAGCATATCTTGCTCACCAACAGCCCAAATCAGCGCCATATATAGCCTTGGATTATGTCCAAAAGATTCTCTCATGATACTAGTGATTTGTTCCAACAAGATCTCATCTTATCCTTTTGTTATGAAACAACCTTTCATAGGCAATTCAAATTCGAATTCAAATATTTGAATTCAAACATTCAAATATTCAAATTCAAATGTTCAAACATTCAAATTCAAAATTCAAATTCAAAGTTCAAATTTCAAATTTCAAATTCAAATTTCAAAATTCAAATTCAAAATTCAAATTTCAAAATTCAAATTTCAAATTTCAAATTTCAAATTCAAAATTCAAATTTCGAATTCCAAAATTCAAAATTTAAATGTTTGATAATTAATTTAACTAATTAAATTAATTAGTAATGTCTTGGACTATCCAAGCCCATTACAATGATCCATGCACCCTCCACCCCTTTAGGTTTTGTTCCAAACAACTTCTTGGGCTAATAACTATTATTAGGTCCAATATCTTTAATGCTAGAGCATCTAGACAATTAGGTGTTTGTGTGTGACCCATTAGGTCCAACTTAGCCACTGACATAAATGGGCTTGGGCCCAATAAGCCCACAACCCATCTAATGACAACACAGAGCACTAGCAATGCTTTGTTGCCCCAGAACTAGTTAGATTAATGATTTGATCATCCTATTAAACATATTTGGTTGCCGTATGTTTGTCCCTTCGTCTCGGTTACCTTCCCATAAAACCTAGGGTAAGGAAACGCATCAACCCTTGCGGTTTAGGGTTAGCTTTATATGAAATAAGGAGTCTTCAATTTACTTACTCTAAAGGCGGATCATCTTATGATCTCTTTTACTATGCATAGATTCCCGAGTCACTGTAAATGTCATCCTGATTTCTACGGTTTAAGGATAACCTAATCTCTCACAGAGATTTGACGAATTCCTTCAGCTTATCACCCTAGCCCTGTGCCCTATCAGGACAAGCCCAAGAGCATACCTAGGAGTCTCATGTTTCAGGCAGACGAGGTATACAGTCAAAGCATGCCTTCTAGAATAGAGTCTAAGTGATAACT